AGTATATAACTAAATTGTTGAACTCCAATTTTCATGTTATCATGCTTTGGAGTTTGGATAGTATTAAATGTTTCATCATCATCAGCTTCTAAATGCCAAGCCTTATTGTTGTAGCCAAACAACGTAAATGTTTCATAGCATTAAAAACAATTTTGACTCAGCTTACAATATGTACCTACGTATAGCCGTATAGGTAATGTATAAATCTACTAAATATTCAGATTTTTGAGATTTTTTATGTCTTGAGGAGTGTCCGGGATGTATTGTGGTAAAACAATTTTTTTTTTTCAATGAGAATCCTTTTTTTTACTTTAAATTATTTAGTGAATAATTTTTTTGAACATTTTTATGTACCTAATTCAAAATTTGAACAAGTATAATATAGGTAGGTATGCATATTGTTTCTTAATTCTTAAAATGTTTGTACTAAGGATACCTATAATAGTCCTTAAACATGGTTTTACAAAATTATAAGTATAGATGACATTTTGGATCTATAGACGCATCTATAGTATTTATTATACTTGGACCATTTTTACAAATTACAAATATTAATCACTAAATCAAATCATGGTTATATCAAATCATCATAGCCCTCATATCTACGGAACCCATCGTCATGGACCTATATATTATGCTTAATACACAATTACACAAAGTTAAACTATCAAAACTATTTGTTACAATTCTGATTCTGCAAGTAAGCATAGCCGTATAGGTATACTTAAAATTGTTCAGAACAATGAATCAACACAATTATCCTCTAAATAATTTACAATATAGAAATGAGCGGTTCGGGATCTTATTATATATTTGAAAAGTTTGTATCTCCACTGGGCACTCCTTATTAAGTATAGTACAACAAATTATAAGAATTTGAAAATACGATCTTTAGACTTTGAGTAAGTATATTTAAAAATTCCAAAAATCAGATTTTGTGTAACTGCATTATTGAATAAAAAAGAGAGTAGGTATCTACCTATGAGCATGCTTGGTAAACCCTATATAATATTATATACCTACGTATACCTACAATGACTGAACACATTTTGATGTAATTTTTATTAATTGAACTTAGGAAGAATTCTAGATTTTAGGTATAGGCGTGAGAATAGGTTAATCATACAAAACCATAAAACTAAAGTGGTTGAGGCGAGTATACGATTACCTATACAAACTTAGGGGAAACAATACCTATTAGTAAATGTTTCCTTAGTATATATGTATACACTATATAGTGGGAAGAATGATTGCTTTTAAGATCTATATATATAGGTATTAGGTACTAATGCATAAATCTGAATTATTCAAAAGTATATATGTTATAATAGTGTCTACTTTTTATATAACAATACTCTGTAACTGATTGGGATGTTACTCTGGAAGTAGCGTAATGAATATTTGTTGTAAGCACTACTTTTTTGTAGCCATGCAAAATGGAATATATTATAACTAGGTATATTAACTTATAAGTATACCGATTCCGCTTTGTTTCTACTTTCTATACTATACCGTGTGTCCGCGAAAACTGGGTAGACTCTATATAAACGTATAAACTCTTGGTACATATTGGTGGGTGTGCGACCAAATATATAGGTATATATACCTATAAATATCTATACTATTAAAAAAATAATTTGCATTTTCTGATTGTTAAAATATTCCTATTTCTTCAAAAACTAAAATAAATAAGATTTATTCTAAATTTAAAAAAATATTATTGGTACATTCTAACAAATTAATTAAATTCCTCATTGTCATATTCCCGACTTAGCAAGTGTAAATTAACATGGACACTGGCAAGATTAACAGTCACTTCTTACTTATTATTATTTTTAGTCACTTTTCATTATTATGATGAAAATAAATAAATAAAATAAATAATAGTATTATTTCTGATTATAGATTGTTCTTATTCTATATTATAGGTAACCTATATTATATAAATAATTTTTCTAATTATAAATGAAAAGTAGTAGGTACCTTGGAATCTATACCTATATTTTTTTTGTACATATCTATATATGGTATATGTCTATATACGTATTTTAATCCCTTTACATTTACTGCAGTCATAATTGATTTTCCATTTGCAGTTCGCCATTTATATGTAGCCAGGCGATGCATAATTATTAAATAAAAAAATAGTAACTTATATAAACACTATATAGCTGGTTGCTGAATATAGTGGACAAGCGCACATAATATATTATATGTAGGTATATATAAATTATAATACATTAATACATTATAATTATAGATAATATTAATATCTATTTATCTATCTATTATTTATGTCCTATTTTTATATTCTGAAATACAAACCTATTATATGCTATATATATTATATACCTATATCATATATAGGCAGTGGCGTGGCGAACGGTAATTTCAGAGGCCTTGGCCTCTGAAATTTTTCTTAAATAGAGGGGTGGGTGGTAGCCAGTGGGTCCCCTAGTAAATTGAATATGATATTCTCAATAGGTAGTCAATAACGATCTGAAATATAACTTGTTATATTACATTAATACATTATTATGCATAAATACTTGGGATATTTGTAACTGGCCTCTGGAAAATTTTTAGTTCGCCACGCCACTGTATATAGGTATAGAGGTATTCGAGATGTCTGCCCTACGGCCGTGAGGTCGATTTGTCTCAATAATCAATATTTTGATACAATATATCTAAGTTAATATGTACCTATATCATTTATATACTAGGCATGAGATAAATATATCTTACATATAAGTTTATAATATAGGTAATATATCGATCAATGCTATAGTGGTTTAGTGTATAGGCATATACTGTATAGATAGGTATAGGTAGGTACAGTTTTACATCTTAGATACACGCATATATAGATAACATGTTTATCTACGCCTTTTTCCAAAATAAATTCATTAAAAAATGTTAAAATGTTCTTTGCTTTTGAATATAGTTCAGGGGCGTGTTAATTTATATCTACATTAAAACCGTTGTCAACTTATCAGCTTAAAATCTTGAACTTTATTATTTCATTTACGATTTCATATTTCTGTAGACAGTGGCGACCTGGGTTCATTTTTTTTGGTCGGCTGGAATTTAAAAAGGCCCTGACCGATAAGACTAATAGAAAATGTGCAAATGCAAATGGCTATGGGCCTTTTTACAGTTTTACATTTTTAAAGATACCTAATCATTTTGAAGTTCTACTACCCCCACCTCTTCCAAAAAAATGTATATGTAACTATTTTTGTAAGTACCTTATTTATGTTTCAATTAACTTTACCCCTTTGGTATTATAAAAACAAATAACAAAATATCTATAATGTTACCTATTGGCTATTCAACATTGCTGTTGATGCATATACTATAATATTAATAGGTATTTGTATCATTTTCATTAACTACCGCTAGGTATAGCTCTTGCCTGTTGCATGAAGTCTACTAGTCTACATACCGAATACTTCATATTATAATATATGAGGACCTGGTTAATATTATTCATATTAATTGTGTGTGCTAAACAACTTTTTAGTGTCTACCACCTTATTATTGTATAATATTTAATATTCAGATAAATAATACAGAATATTCAATGTTTTAATAAATTTTAATAAATAATAATTAATAAATGATCAAATAAGTCTGTAAGTAATTGTAAGTAGGTAAATGTTTAATATCATTATTAACTAGTTAAAAAAAATGGGCTATAAATAATAAATAAAATTAGTTAACAAACTTAGTTATTTATGAACATTTAAAATAATATAATCTCAATCGGGTAATGGCTGTAAGGGCCCATTTAGCCGAGGGCCCAGTCGGCGATCGCCGACTCGCCGACCTGGCCAGGCCGCCACTGTCTGTAGACTTACCTACCTATATAATAATGGGTAATTGCAGTTTGCAGTATGTTTGCGGTAACTGGTAAGGCATCTATATATGGCTATGTAATATATATATATATAGATATCTCTATTTACATTAAATATATAATAATGCTTGATTCATATTAATAATAACCTTGTATTGAACTATAAAGCATAGCTTACATATTATTATAATCGTTATTACAAATGTACTAACTAATAAACGGGTAAAAAAAATATCGAAAAAAATGTGTGTACGTACGCATAATATTATATGCGGCGAGTGAGACAGACCGCGTATAGCCTAAATAATTGTGCCGACTCAGATGGTCGCTCGCACGCACGCACAGCGGTGGGTCGTAGTCGTGTACTCGGTCGTCCGCCGGGGCGTCGACGCCGCCGCCGCCAATGTCCAGTCTGGTGGGCGGTGACGTCAGCGCGGGGTCTCGCCCAATGAGTGAGTGTAGGCAGTGTGTGTAGGTACAGTCGCTCGGCTCGAACGTGCGCCCGCTCACTCACCCTGTTGAGGTCCACGCGATAACGTGTCGTCCACCCTCCGAAGTTAATCGCCGCCGCCGCCACCACCACTACTATTATAATTTTATCCACTACCAGTGACGACCTCTCCTCCACCGCAATAGGTTTCGGTCAGATATTTCCGTTTCTCGACAAAAGTGCGACCGCCAGTTATACCCGTTGCGTATTCGTGGTACATTCTATATATTATACCGTCCGTTTGGTCTCCAGTGGTGAATATTTTTATCGACTTTCGAACGCCGCAAATTCGACCCGTCCGTCGCGACGAAATGGATCTTCTGATAATAACAGCAATAGTATCTGCGGTCACCAACCCTACTCGTTGCAAATAATGATCGTTATTTATTACCTGTACCATCGATAGCTGCTGCAGGTATACTTGGTTAATATTATTATACCTACCAATCGTATATATACATACATATTATACGTCCAGGCCGGATCGCACCGAGCTGTCGGCCGGATTTTGTACGATATACACAATTCCTTTGTAAATATAATATATATTATTATATCATTAAATAACACAATATCAGCTTACCCCTGCCTCCAATCGCGCAGCTTTCGGGCCTTATTCGAGAGATCTGCACAGTCTCAGGAGTATTTTATATGAGCTACTTTTCGGGTTCCGGCGACTTGGCCGGTACAACTGCAGAGAACTACAACTTTGACTCGCACTCCAAAGAACGAGTAAGTAGATACTTATTAATTTATTATAGCCAGAACGCTCAGTAGGTAGCTCGTATTTTACAAACATTGAACATTATAGTACATTAGAACATTAGTACCTACGCCACTTCACTAGTTAAACTCTATAAGTATAACGAAGTGTTATTGGATATTAACTATAATATTAGGAGATAGGTACGCCTGTATATGTTATATGTTTATAATTTTCTATAATGCGGTTGTGTTCTATAGTTACTTGTAATTTAATTGTAGATGAGGTGGGCACCGCAGGTATACGTGTACCTATGTCTAGATATACCCACAAATTTTTATTTGTAGATAATAATATGTACGTATAGTGAATAATACTAAATGCCATTGTTCAATAGTTTTACTTTTCTTAGAAAATGCTTGAAATTCTTGTTCAATTATTAAAATTTAAAAATTATCTTGTATGGGAAAATCTTAGTTTTCAGGAAGTATAATATACTCCTTGTTTTTATAACTTGCATATTATTTAATATTATTGTACCAAGATATTTTATTTCATGGTTTTTTTTAGTATTCATTAGTTAAATTTATAAGTAGGTTATAGGTATAAATGTATGATAGACGGTAGGTAAATATATTTTTTATTTAAAAAAGTTGTAGGTGCCTTTGTCCTGTATATTGTATAAATCATAATCGTGAAGTACGAGAATACAATTTGTCATTTGTCACAGCAAAATATATATTTAAAATAGGTTGTAGAATGTGAAAATTTAAGTTAAAATTAAATATTGAATGGTATACGATAGGTATAACTAATAATAACAATAAATAGATCATTTTTCTACTGATAATATAAAGCAAAATGTTAATTTTAATAATGAAACACATTAATTATAGGTGCCTACCTGCCGTTTCCGTTAATATTCATTAGGTTATATTGTACCTAATAATATTGTATAGGTACCTAAATTAAACAATGTAAACAACTTTAAATATGGTTATATTATATTATATATATTACCTCGTATATTACATAGATGTATCTTACTCGTATATTATCCCATATACTTAGTATCTCCTTAAATTGTATATTTCTTGTAAAATTAAAAAAATGGTTTTATTAGTGACCTTACCTTTGCCGTTACTTATAGTTTTGGTTCATTAAAAATTATTCCTAACTATAATAATTAGGGAAATCAAAATCAATTAATCGCCATAATATTATCAACGTTTACTTGTACCAGTTGTACCTATATATTTCTTATTTTCTTATCGATAATCTAATGTTTTTTGCATTCGATATCTTAAAAATAGAGCGAAGAACCGATAACGTAGTGTATTTTTGTAACAATTAAATTGATTGGTTGTTATTGCAATTTTTCCAAATAAAACATATACATATAAAGCTGAAATGGACCTAATTTTAGAAATGGTTTTCGTTCAGTTTTCTATGAAAAAATTTAGCTGTGTGCGAGTATGACTTGTAGAGTGTTAGACACACAATACATTTCATATTACAGCAGTGACATCATCACATTGTGTCTATTACGAAACGTCCTATCCAAATATGTTAGCCAGGAGTATACATTTTTTTTTCAATTTGCTCAATAGCGTACGGTCGACATTATTTTCTGAAAATTCGTGCTATAGCGCACGTGACATAGATATCGTGATATAACATTAAAACCATAATGCACTCATTGTACAAAGTTTTTTATGGTCGATCTATTAATAAACATTATTAACAACGACCTAAAAGATTACCTCATTAAAAATGCATAATTTATTATTGAAAAATTGTATTTTATTTTGTATATACCTAGATACTTATTATAAAATATATTTTAACATTAATGATGACATTTTTAATAGATTTAATTTGACAACAACTTATATGTATATGGATATAATCATCAAGTTAATATAACAATAATAAATATATATATATATATATATATATATATGTATGCATTTTTGTATATAATTGAATACCAACTAAGAAGTTGAGACATTTATTAAATTAATTCAATTTGAATTTGAAATTTCGAGTGGGTATCGATATCTTTCCCAAGATCGGTCTGCGATGTCAACTATTGTGGCTGCGTCAAACCTGTACTCCATATTTCTAAATAATTGTACTATATCCCAGTGGCGCACTGGCGCCCAAGGTACCTATATTTTTCAAGTGTAGCAAGACATAGTTTTACTCACCCACTGACCCACCAAAAGTTATTAAATATATATTTCTTTGAGTATTCTTCTCCTCTTATTTACAATGTATCTATACTCTATAGCGACCGCTACACCTAGTAATATACCTACCACTACTCATCACCCAAATTAGGTCCCTACTATTGAATCAGGGCTTAAAGTGGGAAAACATTATACTGTCGCCATAAAGTTTTAAGCGTCCCATGTATAATTATTATACAGGGTTATTCAAAATGATTCATCCGATTTAAAATGGCTATATAAAGATCTGACGCCATGTGATTATTTCTTTTGGGGATATGTTAAAGACACTGTACATACCACCACTGCCATCAAATCTAGTTGAATTGAAAAATCGAATAACAACAGCCATGTAGTCTATGCTGCAAAAAGTATGGTATGAATCTGACTACCGACTAGATGTTATTCGTGTAACCAAAGGAGCTCACACAGAACATTAGATACAGTTAATTAAACTTAACATATTTTTCGGTATATTTATACTTTACCGGACACCTTTTTTTTTGCAATTTTTGTAATTGAAATATATGTAGGTAAGTACGCTGAAAACGATGGTGAAGTCAGAATTTGGGGCTCGGACTTAGTTTCGAAGTTATCGGCGAATGAAGTTCGCTATTTTAAGTTCACTGTGCCTATCATGAAGATTGATGCTAGCAAAGCATCACTGCCCATACTACGACATAACTTACCCTGTGACCTACTTAAGGTGGTGTTGCACAGCAAGTCGAGGGATATTTTCGATTTGCGGAGCGGAGCGACGGCGCCGAGGAGCGTAGCGACGAGTGCCGCTAGCAAGGCATCACTGCCCATACACGCGAATAATCACAAGTCCCAGCGCATGCGCAGTAACGCCACAGATTATATGAAAACAAATTGTGCACTTCCTATGCACAACAAATTTTTTCAACTATTTTAATTTTTATTCACTATCAACTACAATTCTTATACATTATATAAGAATAAACATTTTTGGACTTCACTCGTCGTCGTCGTCGTTGCCGTCGTCGTCGTCGTCGTCACCGCCGCGGCCGTCATTAAATATAACATTTTCGCAACAAATATACATTTTTAATTTAACTTAGGTGGATTTGGATAGCAGATCGAGGGATATTTTCGTTTTTAATTACCTGATAAAGTGGATAACCTCGCACCGTAATCTCCATAAAAGCACAAGTTTCAAAAACAAAAACATCAATCTTCATGATAGGCACAGTTAACTTAGAATAGCCAACTTCATTCGCCGATAACTTCGAAACTAAGTCCGAGCCCCAAATTCTGATTTCACCATAATTTTTTTCGTCAAAAATATGACAAAGTCCCCCAAAAAAAATCGCAAAAAAAAGGGTGTCCGGTAAAGTATAAAAGTTCCGATGAATCATTTTGAATAACCCTGTATATATAATGTCTAATACTCTAATGTATATGTAATGTATACATATTAAATAGTGATTGTGTCAGAATACTCATCCCACTTTTAACACTGAATAATGTTAATCCTGATTTGTTAAAGGGGACTCTTTTTAACCTATTGCTTGTTCGGACGGCTTTTTAAGCCTGTGACACATTTCAGGCGTCGGTCTATGATGTGTGGGAGAATGTATTTGATAATATGAGTTAGGTAGTATTTGGGTTAAGCGTTAGTCCAATCAAATAGGCGATTATTAAGCACATTCGTGAAATGTTGAGTACTGTGCCTAGGTCGTGTATATGCGGGTATTTTGGAATTTCGTTTTTGTAAAATAATATTTTTGTGTTTCGGAGAATGTACTCACGAATCGTGGGAAGTCCTGCTATGTTGCGTAAAGTTGTATTGGAAACATAGTAAGGTGCAGCAAGAATTGTTCTGAGAGCAAAATTTTGAGTGGCCTCAATTTTTGCCCAGTTTGACTTTGACAAAGTTGGGCCCCGAGCTGAACCTGCGTACGCGAGGATTGACCGTACATACATTGAATATATTTGTATTTTTGTTTTAACAGGAATTGGACTTTTCCTACCTAGACCCGGACTTTAGTAGCTTTTTGGATGGCGGACTTATTGTGAAGGCTGAAATTTAAGTTTTTGTCATAGATAACCACTGTCAGAGGTTTAATTTAACCCCTGATAAAACTATAATATAAACAAGAAGAACGAATATAAATGAGAAGAGAAATAAGTTACAAAGTTACTTTTTTAGAAACATTCCAACTTATTTAGCTTGTTTTAATTCATAATAACGTTGTAACTTCCCGAGTTAGTAAAGTAATATAATCTAACTCGTTAAAAACAATATGTACCTAACTAGTTATTTTTGTAGTTTTTTTTTTATTCCAAAAATCCAAATGTTCCGTAAAACTGCTGAGTGCTGAAAATTAGTATTATCTATAGCCGTGATCACAATTTGTTCATAATTTATTAATATTCAGTATTTTAAATTTTATGATAAAAACATTTTTCTTGTCATATTATTTCTTATCAATTATTTATATTAGTTATATTTCTGACACGACGCTTATCATTAATGGCCAATAGATATACATTATACACCATGATATATCCTAAATCGTGATATTAAATATTCCTTATTTTGTTATACATTCTGTGATCTAAATATCTAATGATGGATATTTCAATTCATTTCCAAGAAATTTGGGTAATTAGTTATTACCTACTTATGAAACATTTGATCAAATTATCAGTTGTTCAATAGTGTATCCGTATCGTCACCATTCACCAATAATATTTAAGTTGGATATCTAGTAATTAATTTATATAATATACTTAACACATTTTGAACAAACGGGTTTTTATATTTATATTTTAAACTACAAAAAAACCTAACTACTAACTTATTTTTCAACTTAAGTTAGGTACTATTATCACCAAACTCACTTTTAACTTATTTAGAAATTTTAGAAACTAACTTATGTTCTACTAACTGAGTTAGTTTTTGTATTAAACTATTAAGTAACTAGTTGAAAAAAAAATTACCAACCTACCCAGCTTTGATTATGAATGATATACCTAATAACTTAACAAAGTTCGAAAGTTACATAGTTTTTACATTTCTTTTAATATTATAATTTGCTCCAATTGTCTAAATATTATTTGGGTCATAAAACTATTAAGAGTTGATTATCACATTACATTTTAAATGAAATATTATTTTATAATAAAGTTAAGTTACTTTAATATCATTGCAGGGGCGTAATTAGGGGTCGGGATTAGGGGGATAGATCCCCCCACAACATTTATTTTTTACTGCCAACATTTTGATCAAAGTATTGATAATGACCATTCATATTTGCTAAAAACGTATATCCTATAATTACGCCACTGTATCATTGTGCACTATATTATATAGTGTAAAAAAATAATATTGTGCATAATTGTGTATAATGGATGATAATATTATGTTTATTAATAAATCAAAAAAAATCACATAGTTGCCTATACATTAACTGAAATAACCGGATCTAAAAAAATGATAATATTGGAGCTTACGTTTTGTTGTTTATAAAATGTATATACAAATATTATTACTAACAGCAAATTTCAAACACTTATTGTACCTATATTGTGTAACATTGTGAGAACAACCTTCACTAATTCTGTCTGTCTATTTATCTACTTACATAGCTACTACATTTTTGAAATTATTTTCTTATAATAGATTACCTACATGTATTCTCAAGTAAAAATATTCGTCTAGAAAAGTATTGTAATTAACTATACAATAATATAGGTACTAATTAAAATTTTTTAAAAAAAAATCAATAGCATAAAAATCTTAATGAAAAGTTTATCTATCAATATACATTTGTTTATTTTTTGTATTTTTATTATTTAAATAAAATTATTTAGGACTTACAGTTTTATAATTTAAATCTACTAAGAGTAAATATTATACCTACTGTTACGTATTACATGATTTAAAAGTATAAAAAATATTTTCTATTTAAGATTCTGAGCGGAATGTATTGCTTTTACGATATCATTTTTGGAATTAAAACAATTATTCAATATTGATGGAAGTTTTTGCAGGTAAAACATTTAAACTATAGGTATATAGTACCTACGTACTTTGTTGTTCAAAAGTAAATAATTCCAAGTTTATTTCCTAATATAATAAAAAAATGTTGTTTATTTTTGATATATAGTGATAACATTCTTTTTTCAATACTTGAAAATTTAATTAAGGTTTCTCATTAGCCCTTTTTATTATAGCAATTTAATAATATCGTAAATACATGTCAACAATTATTTATTAAAAGCATTTTATGACATTAGAAATTTTATAACTATTTTTCATTTAGCGATTTTCGTTATTTTATTGTAACTTGGAATTCAAAAAATATTAACTACATAGACCAGGGATTATTATTTTATATAATTTGCTAAATATTTAGACTAATATTTAACCATTCTATACGATGGGTACACCGGTATATTGACTTATTACTTATAATTAGTAAGTAACAATAAAAGTAATTAATAATTAATATAAATAGGTATTATGTTAAAATATAACTTGTATTTATTTTAAGCAAAAGAAACCATTGATTTTTAAGTACCTATTAATAGAAAAATGAATTACCTATTGTAATTTAAATTTATAATAAAATATCTTTATAGAAATAGCTGATGCTGATTCACCCGTCGGTTTTGCTCACAATTGTTTTTAATCGTATGTAGGTACCAACTACATACTACGTACCTACTATTATTTATCGTTGAATGTAAATTGATTATTGAACACGTCCACTGCAATTACTCAATGATGATATAAACTGAAAACAAATTATAGGTACAGGAGATCGTGTTGATGGTGTTGCTCATTTCCCCCCTGCACGAATTTATAAATATTTATACTTTATTTTATACTACTTAGGTATGAACAGTACTGTCATTACTACAGTAGTATAATACCCATGTATAATATGAGCAATAATACCTATACATTTTGTTTGATGACTTCACTATGAATATTTTTTATGTAGTATAATGTTCTAAATCCCACAATATAATGAAATATTATTTATTTTATTTTATTTTTAAATTAATGATAATAGGATAATTCAAACATTTTAAATCGTTTTTGCTTTAAACATTCAATTAATATTTAATAGTTTTTATAGATTTTTTAAAAATAATATTTAAATCATAAAGTTATTTTAATATACATATTTTATTCGTATTTGTGTATTTTTATGCATAATTTTACTCCTGAAAATCCTTAAATAATCAAGTCAAATTAAAAATTGCTTATAGTTAATATTAAACAATTAAACATATATGTACATTGTATATGCGTACAGATATACCTAAGTAATGCATTAATGTAATCCCTATAAAGGCACTTTCATAATATGCCAAAAGTATAATTTTAAGTAAATCATTTGAAATATTTTGAAGTACTTATTGTTCTACATTATATAGGCATTTTATTATTTTTTTATAAACTATATAATATACAGTGTCCCGTGAGGCCGTTAGCCGTAGAGGGGATTCGCCGCCCGGACAAAAACTGGTTTTACCTATTACTAAAAAGTTTATTGAAAACCATGAGGTTAATGAAAATAAAATGTTGAAATTTCAACATTTTAAGAAAAATAAACTATAAAATGGCTATCTTCAATTGTTTCAAAAAAATAATTTTTAAACTTAAAATTAAAAAAATTAAATATACGTAGTTGGTCGTCTATGTGAGTCTAATAAAAAAATCAATTTATTATCTCAGGAGATAAGTATCGCAATGGGTAAATCCTCGCAGCCGGACACTCTGTATCGTACCTAATATGAGTAATGAACAATTTAATAATGTATAGTAGTAATTATACCTTCATATAATATTTTATTATGACTAAAATTATTACACATAATATTTCTAAATAATTTAACCAACGATTAAATTACAAAAAAAAAACAAATTCATCATTTTATTAATAAACAAATAGGTATATACATTTCCAAGTTACAGAAATAAAATAATTAACGTCTTATAAACATATTTATATAAAGCGGATCATTTGATCCCTTTTAACACAATGTCACTTTTTATTTAAATAGCTGCTTTCGACTTAACTTTTATTATTTATTTCAAAGAAATATGATGCTTGTACAGTTATACTGCAGAGAGCACCGAGCTGTTCAACCAGGAAGCAATGAGTTTATTATTCTCTTACGTAGTTGTATAAACAATTTTGCCTGGCAAGTGCAAATTAAAAAAAAAAAGTAAACAATTGTTTGCTTAATCAAACCTCTACCCATTAAAAAGTAATATTGTTTTGATTATGATTATATTATATTTATCACCTAACCCTTGAATAACTCCATGTGACTACGTGAGTCAGTAAATAAATTAATTTAACTATTAATTACAAATGAATACTTCGTAACATAATAAGATCCGTAATTCAGTTTTTATTTAGTCCAATGTCAATTTATTTGGTATCTCTCTTCTTAAATTCTTGTAAAACCATAAAGTTACAGTCGAGTCTCCATAACTCGCGACTCAAAGGGAATAAAAATAAATTCAACTTATGTACTTTTAAGTTATATACCCCAAACACAACTTATAAAAACACTTCAAGGGGCAATGAAAAATTCGAGTTATCGAGGTTTGAGTATGTCTTGTAATTTGTACTTCTTAGTTCTAATATGCATTTTGTAAATATAATTAAAATATTTATCAAATGTGGATATATTTTACTAAAAAAGTCGCATGACTAATAATTGAAGGCATGCATATTTATATTTATATGTTATATACAACGGTTACAAACATTTTATTCAAATTTACAATTGATAAAAATAATAAATACGATAATATAAGGTTGGTACTTAAATTTCTCGAGCTTATAAAATGTTAATTAAGATGTAGAATAATGTAGTTGATATACCTAATTTATATTAAATTATTTATAATTTCATAGAAAATATATTGTTATATTATACCTACATTCAAATTTCAAAGTAATCTATATATTAAAAAAATCATATTTTGAAATTGTAATATAATTAAAAATCTATTTCAGAGTAATATTAAAAACGAAACGACATATCTTCAAGATGTTCAGGAAGATTGTTTTTATACCGAACAAAATACATCGATGCGAGGTAAGATTCATAACATGTATATTGTATACATTGATATTTAATTCTTAGTTCTTACTATTGGTGTTGTGGTGTACCTAATAATTGTTACTAGAATTTAAGCCTTAAGGCTTAAAGTAACATGATGGTGAGGATTACATTTTAAAAATTCAAAGTATAATATTATTAATAAAAGTATAATTTTATTTAATGTGTTATAATTATGTAGGAATTTCTGAGAAAGTCAAATTTACAGCCTTTACTTGTATATTTAGAATCCAAATATAAACATAAAAATCATAAAATATAGTTTCTAATCGTAATCGCAAAATTTAGCTGAGCTTAAATTAGTTGTTACTTGTTAGGATGTTATGAGTTTGGATATTTCTCATATATTTATGCGTATATATTATGTATACTGCAACTGCAGTGTACTTTTATTATACTACCTACCAAATAGTTAAATAGCATCATATTTTGGTTGAAGTGTTGTTCTAGGTATAAATATGTAAATTTAACTACGTACCTATAATCTATATAATTATATTATTATTATATATTACTATATTAGTAACAGACAACTTCAAATAATTCGATTTTTCACCACTGCAGAAATAGGAATATAATAATATAACTATATTTAAAAACTCTAAATCCTAATGTAGCTAATCCAACGTATTGTACAGTTTTAAGGAATTTTAAATAGGTACACAGTACCTATATTTATGAAGTAAATCAAACATTAAAAATCTATTAATAATTTTTGTAAAATAAGTGATATAAAATCATGTGTGTAAATTTTGCCTGAATAGGTTTCTTTTCTAGTTTTTTTTTCTGTTCGAGTGACCCGTGTGAGTAGGTGTGGTTTTTTATGCATTTTTATTTTATATATATAGTGTTTTAAAATAATGGGTCACAGACTTATAGAAGAGAGGTGGCCCAGAAAAGGTAGTTTCGTCACGTTTCAATCATAACTCGGAGGGGGTGGAGGTATCGACTGTTGGATCAAGAGGTGTTGGGAGTGGGGCGTACTTAACGAGGAACATTTTAATGATCTGTTAAACGCCACGGCTAGTTTCTCGAATTGAGTAGACACGTCGCCAACCAGCAGACATGGGATTAATACTTTATATTTTAAATTCTTATAGGATATAATGTTTATTAATTTTTACAGATGTTTGTAATAAATGAATAAAATTAAAAAATACATGAACAAAATTTGGTTATAAAATTGTAGAATTTGATTATTTTCATAAATTTACTTAAATATTATTTTTTGAAATTCTTATTATTTGTATAAGAATAGTTTGTTAAAAATATATAATTTATATATTATAGATTTCAGAATTAATTTAGTATTACTGTCTTACAAATCATTTGTGTATTTTAAACACGTTTTATTTCGTTACCTCTGTGCGTGAATCAAAAAATAGTCTATTAGGTATAATAATAATTTATTTGAAAACAAAATAAACGATAACTAGGAAAGTTGTATGATTTAACAAATTTCCTAATTAATATTTTTAATTTTGTTATGTTTTAAAAATATTAAACCTGTTTATGCGTATTGGGTATGTACCTATGGTATATACTATATTATAATATTATATAATATAATATTCAGTTTAAAAAACTATATGTTACATGGAGTTTTTACGACATAATATCAAAAAAATCCCTCTTAAAACCTGTTGCGTTTAATGTTAGTTTTAGCGTGTGCTGCAGTTTGTTGTCTTGAGATTCTAAGTTATAATATATATTTATATAAGTAAACAATTTAGCCATTTTGTAATAAATAATATTTAACAGGATCTAAAATCGTTTTTAAACACGTTTTTATGAGAACCTTTTTTTGTTTTATAACAAGAACAACATTTTAATAATAAGTCTTAGGTATAATAAGTATAATAATAGGTAATCTTATGGTAAATTGATATTTTAACCCAAACATCTTGTGATATAAGTATATAACTTTAATCGCAGTTCATAATTATTATTTTGTTTTTAATCTACAAAGATATCTTAAAGAATATATGCCGTTTTGTGTGTATTTAATATTGTTATTTAAATTTAATATTTACTTTAAGAATTACATTTTATTAGTGCCTAATAGTATTTTCAATTTGTTATGTTAGTACGTTTTATTGTACCTATTTGTAAATAAAACTTGGTAGCTGATTAATAAACAGATATAAAATATATATAATATATATATAATCAAGGTTCGATATAGCGTAAAAATAATTATAATATTTGATTTGTGTTTACCCAGGAGATGATACGGATATAAATGCTAACAACACTAGTGAAGATAAACAACCAAACTACTTTCAAGACTCTCATCATATTTCCATGCACGAACCATCTACCACAGAGTTAGTGCCGTTGACCATTTATCCTACAGAAACGGACTTACAGTATATACAATTCACTATTAGATTCTTAAAAAGGAGTTCGTACTAGCACGTGTTGTCCCCGTCTTACACACGTACGACATGGCAAACATTTTTTCACCAGTTTCAATAGTGTGCTGTTAATTTTGATATTTGAGTGAATTGACCTATTATACAATTTAAAGGCAAGATTATTATTTAGGGCACAACTTAGCATTTCATTGATATTTTTATTTTTTTAAGTAAGATATAATCATTTAAAAATGTAAAGTTTCAAAAAGATTATGCTACCAGTACACTATTTAAACTGGTAAACGAAAATTTTGTATGTCGTACGTGTGTAAGACGGAGATAATACACGCAGGTACGACTCTTAAAATTATTAATAAATTACAAAGTATGTGTTATGTACCTAATATATACATATAAATATTTATATTTATATATAATATATTTGGTTTATATATATTTAGAAATAATGGCGTTGTGCATACGGGTGACGTTAGTAGCAACACTGTTACATCGTTGGGGTCTCCTGAGGAACGGTCACCAGCGTCTACTGACCAACAGCAGCCACAGCAGCCGGCTGCTACGACTTTGCCCTCAAAACCTCCGTATTCGTACGTAGCTTTAATCTCTATGGCCATTGAACATTCGCCGTATAAACGAGTTACGTTATCTGAAATTTATAAGTACATCACGGCTAAGTTTCCATACTTCGAGAAAAACAAAAAAGGTTGGCAAAATTCGATAAGACATAATTTGTCGTTAAACGAGTGTTTTGTCAAGATACCTAGGGATGGCGGCGGTGATAGAAAAGGCAACTACTGGACTTTAGGTACGAAATAATAATATATTATTATAATATATCTATCAAAGTTTAATCAATGCATGCGGGTTACAATGTAAAGATAACATACAAATTTTTTTTTTTGTAATGATATCATTTAGCCAAAATAATCTGGAAATGTTTTATGTACCTATATATTTTATTAATATATACATTGGATTTTGGTGATACAAAACAATTATATAGAATCACTTATTCACTTAATTTTTAAGTCATGTGCTTTTTTTTAACTTAACTCCGTCATAAACAAAATATTTTTCTCGACGGTCTTCTGTATAATTTATTATCAAATGCAGAACCAATATAGCTCTTTCCCACTGGATCATGATAAATATATTATTCTGCAGATTAATTTATGAAGTACTATAGTATGTTAAGTAATAACACAAAAAATAATTCGAATTCCTGTATGATTTTTAGTACCTATTTAGGAAAGTACCTACCTAATCATTAATTAGATATATTAAATTAAATAATGAATAAAACCTTACAACGAAATCGTTCGGTACCTGCTGATTTTCCATTATACATGAGTACCTATTCGTTATAGAGACCAAAATATACGGGATATAGGTTTACGGGACTGTTGTTATTTTCCGTCGAAAAGAGTTTTCCCTCTTATAGGAGGTCCGTTGTAAGGCAGGCTTAGTAATAGTAAATAATATAAAAGTTTTTGAAAGTTATTTATACGTGTTATTCGTATACATAAAATGCTAAGAATACTGAGTAAATTACGTTTGAAATATTATATAGTAAATTTCCGATTAAAAAAGTAAAAATTAATATGAAAGTACATACATTTGAACTTTAGTACCTACTTATAATTCTCAGCGAGTAAAAATGTTTTTAAAACGAAATTCAAAAATACAAACGTTACCTACTACAAAAATAAGTAAATAAAGTAAATAAGTAAATATATTTTGGCGCTAATGTGCTATATTTTATTTATAAAAGTTAAATGAATATTAAATAATTAGACATGCATTGGTAATAGGTATGCAATTATTGAGTTATTTGGTTGTTTCTCATCTATATGCTTTATATTAAGTACCTATATGTTATTCATTTGAACATTAAAGATTTTTAGAATACTTATATTCGACATCCTTAATATTATTGCATAGTACGTTAATACTTAATACCTACCGTAATTACTGGGTGATTCTTTTATCAAACAACACTCATTATTTCAAAAAGTGTAAATTTTTTTGAAAATATTTTTTTACATAGTTTCAAGTCGCTTATAAAACAACGTTTTTATTAAAAAATTATATTTTTAAATATTTTTTATCCTTATAATTTTTTAAGTTTTTTACTTTTTTGAATAACAACATAGGGTTTTAATTTTATATTCCAAAGCAGAATTTTTTTCTTAGTATTTTGATACATGAAAATGGAATTTGGGTTCAGTAGTTTATGAGTTATTAGTATTTAAAGTTAGAGGAGCGGAGTGGAGTGGTTCGGGGTTACCCCGCGAAATGTTTGTCCACTTCACCGCTCGTCTAAACTTTAATTACTTATAACTCATAAACTACTCGCCCCAAATTCAATTTTTATGTATCAAAATACTAAGAAAAATATTCTACTTTAGAATATAAAATTAAAACCCTATGTTGTCATTCAAAAAAGTAAAAAACTTAAAAAATTATAAGGATAAAAAATAATTAAAAATATAATTTTTTAATAAAAACGTTGTTTTATAAGCGACTTGAAACTATGTAAAAAATATCTTCAAAAAAATTTACACTTTTTGAAATAATGAGTGTTGTTTGATAAAAGAATCACCCAGTAGTAAATTCCTACAATCCTATACGTGTACAAATTTTTTTTTAACTTTATGTGTTATAGTATAATATACCTAGATAGGTATGTTTATTTTATTTTAAAACTTTCATATTGAATCTTTCTAAAAATTCTTACGAGTAGGATGGGTACCTTTATATATGAAAACCTCTGTTCATCAAAACAAATTAAAATGAACCAATAAACAAATATAACTAATAAATGTATACCTACCTAATATTTAATATGCCTTCAATTCTTATAAAATATTCAGCATTTATAAATTCGACCAAACTTATAATGTTCAAACTAATTTTGATCAAGAGCGATAAAGATTATAAAATTGCATGATTTTGTTTTGTTTGTTATTACATTGAAACGACAGCTGATGATCGTAACAATGTGTAAAAAACTGCTGTCAAAGCAGTATTGAACACATGATAAAGATTTGTACGCGTGCGTTGTGCTTAGCTCACCAAAACATGAAATTCATTACGTTTCAAAAACATCATTATGTTTTATTTATTATTAGGCCTAGTATTAAAATCCAGGAAAAAATTTGTATTGCCCGCTTCATAAGCACTTTTTATAGTGTATGCCATAGTTGTATTATTTATTAATTATTATTATAGAAATATACTACTTTCAATATTTAATTAGGTATAATATATTATGTTTTATAGGTAGTTTTTAAATTTTACTATACACTAGATATTTGAATACCGTCCATAGCCTTTCGCCTAATTTAATTACCTACTTAAATAATATGAACAGGTAGAGCGGATAGTACAGGATAGACGATAGTACATTGTTCATTAGATCACGGTCGTTACTATAAATATAATAATGGGGTGAGTACTTAAAAGGTATAGATTGTGCAAAATTAATGTGTCCAAAGCCTTTGACCTGAGTGCCGGCCCTGAACCAATGTTTCCTTAAGATAAAATTATATATTTTTGCTATAGGTATAACTTAACCTTATGAGTTATGATAATAATAAAAGGAACACATTTTAAAGTTCACTAATACTGTAAATTAATTATAGATACTATTCTACTTAATTATCACATTGTATTTGTAACATGTGCTTGTACAGATATTGGTATAAATATTGAATTTATTCTTAGAATTAAAGCAAGTTATTTTTAAAAAATTATTAAACAAAATATATTAGCTACCTTTGCTAAATTTGGTTTCAATTGTTGGATCATATTACATTAATCAGGTACACGGTATGCATATACTATTTACATGAATGTATAATAATGACGAAAATGTATAATCATTCATTACCTTAAAAACTAATAGGTAATTCAGTAATTGACTTGTTTTATTTCTAATAAATATAAACAATATATATTCATTTAGAATTCAAAACCTATGCCTGCATCCTAGAGATGTGTTTGGGGGGGGGGGCGTATAGTATCACCAGTAAGTTCTCCTGGAGTGGTGCTGGAGGGCTACTGATATGTTTCAAAATGTGTTGGTGAAACTGAGGACAATCATGGAATCTTCGTCAATATTTGTTATAACATTAGTTAGAAATGTATTATTATGCCAATATAGTTAATATTTATTATAGCCTATAGGTTCTTGTGTTGGCTAATTAAAAAAAAAAATTAGCAATCGGATGAGATAAATATTGAGATGGTGGTTATTGCAACCGGGACTTCTATAAAGCGTCTACGATAGGGTGACCATACGTCCCGTATTATACGGGATTGTCCCGTTTTTCCACTTTGTGTCCCGTTGTCCCGACAAAAGTTATACGGGACGCATTTTGTCCCGTATTTTCAAGTAGGTCCCGTATTAATCCCGTTTTTCTCTTTATTGTTAATTTATAATTTTATAATTTTTTTTTTTTTATTCTACGATATTTTTGTATCACAATATTCAATAGAACATCTAATCTATACTTATCAGCATTATTTTTAGATTCTTGTCTTAACAATAAATTATTATAATTGCTGCGGGTTGAAAATAGAGAACTAATAATGTCACATCATTATCGACAACGTTAAACCGACGATTATAAATACTAATGATATTACGATAACGTACAAAATGTTATTAATATTATTATATTGATGTGTGACGTCATCTACTAAATAAGTACAATTCCATCCGCCACAAGTTTGTTGTCAAATATAATGTCTATTCTAAACTTCCTTGCAACAAATATTTTATCGCTTTTAAATGATTTAAAAAACAATAATACCTATGTATAATGAAAACTCATTCAAAAAAAGTACTGATCTATTTTATAATACTTTTTTATCTTACGTAGAAACATGGGGTTGCCACTTTGACCAGTTGAAAATATTTCGCTGGGTCCAACTAATAAACTGTCCTACTTGGGAAAATGTTCAAAAATGTATTAAATTTCTTATGGAAAACAACCGAAATAATTCTAACATAAAATTAGATGAAGATAATTTATTTGATGAATTCAGTCATATAGAACAAATTTTTAAATCACGAATTCATGAATGGCAAAAAAAATCCGCTAAAGTAGAAGTTAAGTGGTGTGAAATATTTGAATACACTAGATAAAGCTCATAACATTGATACAACTAACATATCAAAAATAGTAGAATATTCTTTGGCAATTCCTGGTACAAATGCTGCAGTAGAACGGATTTTTTCAACCATTAATTTGTTGTGGACAGATGAAAAAAATCGATTTTTGGTTGAGACTATCAAATCAATTATAATCGTAAAAACACACTTTAAAAACTTATCTTGTAATGAGTTTTATAATATTCTATTAAAAAAAACTAGGTTACTTGATGAAATCGGTTCAGCACAAAAGTATACAAAACATCAAAAGAAGAAATTTACGTGCCATCGTCATCAAAATAATTTTTTTTTGGACTTTAGTGTACATAATATTATACTAATTAATATTTTATTTGTATTTAAAAACTATTATACAGCATACATTTAATTTGTTTTTTTTTTATATTAATATATTTAGTTAAAATTAGAATTTCCTTTTTTTTTTTAGTTAAGTAACTAAAGTGTCCCGTATTTTTATTTTATTTTTATGGTCACCCTAGTCTACGATAATAGGTACCTATACTCGTGAACCTAACATTGTTGCGATGATAAGAATTTAAATTAATTAAAATTCGGAAACCGAATAGCTCTTATATACGTAATCAGAATAAGTTATTTCTCAGAAATTTAAAATATTTTACGTTTTATTATTTTTTTATCCCGATACATGATTTATTTTTGAGCACATATTTAAAAAAAAAATTGCATTTTTTCTGGGAACATCAGTTAAAATGCTCTTAGGGCCCCAATTACAAAATGTCTGCAGAGGTACACCTTTATGGATATAGGATATAAAGTAGATACACTAGTGAGCATCTAGAAAATATGTAAATATAAATGTCTTATTAATTGTATTTTCATTCTAAAACATAATAAAATAATATAAATAATTATTATAATCCCGATTATTTCGTTATCTATAAAACAATTTTCCCCTAAGAATACTAAAATTAGTTTCAACCTTTTCTAATTTTATATCAATGTCTTGAGTTGTCGAATGCATTCTTATTATTTCCTAATGTAGATTATAGCTATTATAATATAAAATAAATTAGGTACACATAAGTACCAGGTATCTAGTTACCTATATTGTGGATTGTGGAATTTAAAGAGTACATTTTTAAATACAATTACAATAATATAGACTCGACTCGACTCTGCAAAATTTAAATATTGGGACTTTGTTTACTTTTATAGTTTTACCCCTAGTAGGTACCCCTTTTTAAACCACATGAAAAATATTTAAAAATAATCAATTAATAAAACAAAATATAAGTTTATATAAGACATGGGTAATTAGTAATTACTAATTACTGTAGGCAGCTATTATATAATATATTGTAGGTATAAATAATAATAAACTGAAGAGGATAATAAAAGTACATTAATTAATGGTTTACTTATACTTAGTTAATATAAACTTCTTTATATATCCGCGGTTATGAAATATTCTATAAGACAAATTATGATATCCCGTGAATTTGAATAAAAATGCAAAATGATGAAGCGTCCGGTTCCCTTTAAGAATAATAGTAAGGGTACGCTAAAATTTCTGAAGAATGAGTAGGGGTACTCCGTGCCACTATCTCATTTTATTGCAAAATCACGTGAAATGAATTTATTTATCCTTAACCTTAATTAATTCATCATGCTTTAGTAAAAATATGTATTTACATAAAAACCCCATCTCTACATATTAATATAAGTTGTATCGGGCAACGAAGTGCACAGGTTTAGCTAGTATAATATATCTGTGATTAGAACGAAAAAAGGGACTAAGGTACTTACACTACCCATCTAAAGATTAAGTAGGTATAATATTAAATAATCTCAAAATAAAATGCATAGTATTAATTTTGCCATAATTAACTTAACCATTTCAGATTTTTCCAAAAATAAATAATGAGACATCTTCTATTATTGCAATAAATATATATATATTTTTTGGTGATTAATTCACACATGCTTATGCTATATTTCATTAAACCTATAAGCTATTGGTACTTTGAATTTTTGAAAAAATATAAAAATATTTGTTTGTATTTTATATTAGGCACCTACGTATAATTACGTACATTGTATATATTATTTGTATGCCTATATGTATTTAAATATGGCTATATGCAATGGGGTCATTTAAAATATGTTAATATTTGTTAGTTATAAAATAAATATTTTACAATAATAAAATTGTGTAAATTTGATGTTGTCGTCCATTAAACAGAGTAAAACAAACAGTAAATATAACATGGTTAAAAGTTTACATTTTTCGGGTTTTGGAACTAACACCGGTAAATTGTTGGTGAAAACTCATTTAAGTACATAATATTTTCACACATTTTGTGACGATCCGTTTACATATAAAATGATAAACAATAATAACCCATTTTTATATAGAACCTAAGTATATTATTATTTTATATTTATAAAGTATAAACGTATACATGGTGTCCGGTGTACTACCTGGGTATTAAAGCAAATAACAACAATATAATAATAATATTATAATATATAATATAATTAACCTTATTAGAGCTCATTGGTATAAGTTTAGTTTGATGACGATGTACAACTATGGACGTCACAGTAACAAATATGCAAAGAAAAAAACGTTTTGTAATATTGAATAATTTTGAATTACCTACATGAATTTAGAAAATTCAAAAATATTAACAATTACTTTTGTGGTACTAACAACAGTATGTTGTAAAGTTACTGAAGTGACATGGACATTCAATAAATTAATGTTGTAATTGAATTATTGATCAATGTAAGGTTAGTCCCGTCTGGTAGGTCTACCCATGTGGCGTCATTTCAGTTTTTAAGAGACTTGGGCAACTTTTCAGTGCTTTTCCAACTCAACATTTTTTTCATTCAGATTCTCGCATAGCATAGTGCCATAGTGGGTTAAGTAGTAAATGTGCCGACTTAAGGTTGATGTAAATACTAGACTGGAGCCAATTACGCCACTGGCCTTATACCTAAATAATGGGTGGGTAAACTACCCAAATAGCATGGAAAACGCTTTATATAATGTTCTAACAAGTATGAACAAAATTCTGGTTGTGCCACTTAAAGAACGAATACAAATTGTATATTAATTAATTTTTAATAATTCAAATTATATTACATTTTTAGTGTAATTTATTTTTAACGCATTCGATTTCTCATGTTTTTCATTTTATTAAGTACAGGAACTCACAGATTAAATACATTCTAGTACTCTGCATTTACGCCATAATACCCAGTATAATAATTATATTTGTATTAGTGTAGGTATATAGGTACTTGAAAATGTGCTCAAACTTTTCAAAAAATATTAACTGTTTGTAAATTTTTATGCAAACGAGTCGTAAAATCGTGTCTAAAGAGATTATTTTAAAATAAATTGGTGTGTTTTCCGACCTTCTTTAAATTCACTGGCATATAAAATATATTCTTCATACCATTTAATAATCGATAAGGACATCAATAAGTAACATTATTGTGCACAATCTTTTGTCCATTTTGACTTTTTATTTGAAGAAATCTCAACACAAATGCGCACCAATTGAACAATATTTCTTCCGAAGTACAAGATAATTTTAAAAATTCTTGTTACCCTTCTGTAATCGTGTTGACGTGTTGTGCTATATATTGTATAAGTGCGTATTCGTCTTGCGCCGAATCATGATATATTTTATTCCGTTGCAATGTGAATTCTTTTATGTTTTATAATAACACACTAACCTAACCTGGATAACGATCGTCCATCACATATGTTTATTGTAAATATTATATTCTTACAGATTGTATGTCTTCAAATATAAATATAAAAATAGATAAAAAATAATCACATTATTATGTATTATTAGTTATTACTTATTACCTACCCATACATGGTAATTATTTTAACATTAAATAATATTTATATTATTAATATGTTCTATTATTTTGTCATTTTTTGTGTTGTTACATACTTGAAACATGTGAAATAGGTATATGTAGGTACTGTCGCTATATTACCTATATACCTATTACATTTAAAATTTTTAAAAAACAAAAAGTCTAAAGTTGATGGACGGAAGATGTGTTCAATGTTTGTATAATTATTACTCTGTATAGATACTTTAAATGTTATCATTGTAAATGTGTTTAGCATAAAAACTTTCGTTTATTTTATGTATACACAATGCACACAATGATATTATTATAAAATCAACAGGTCCCTGTGTTATTTTTTTGTAAATGACAGTAACTTATCTAAAGAATGTTTATATAGTTTCAACCGAGGACACGAAAAGAAACAAAACAAGCAATTCAATCCCTTTATCTATGATTATTGAAACACATTAAGACACCCACGTGCTGTCTAATTTTTTACAATTTATAATCAGCTGCATTATTTATTTAATCTTTTTTTTTCATCCATCTGTATTTTATTAACAATTAATATTTAGATCCAAAATACGATAACATGTTTGAAAATGGGAACTATAGAAGACGTCGAAGAATGAAAAGACCATATAGAACAACACCTTATAGTAGACCTGGGACGTATTTTGGACCAGATTATAGTAGAGGCATCTTAGGATCACATCCTACAAATTTTGGTTCAAATCCAAATGTAACACCGAGATTTGACCACAGGTTTGATACGTTTATCAATAATTATTTTTGAAGGTAGCTAATAGGAGTGGTCGGGACGCTACTAGTTTTTTTGTGGCGCGCTAACACTACAGCTACTCCCCCCCAAGCTCGCTGTCACTACTACATTTTAAATGTACCTAGTGCTCTGCCTCTTACGCTATGTTTAAATGTAGCGTGCTACTTTTACTCTACATTTTTTTTAGATGTTCCAATTGAAAGTGTTTAGGATATGTAGTTTGTACCTACTGATCTAACATTTGATCACTGGACGGGTTTTAACTACGCGAGTTAATCGTTGATTAAACCCGAAAAATTCATTAATATACTCGTCATCATTATAATATAAATAAATAAAATATATAACAGTTATGGTTATCATACTATTTGAAGTACCTATCACCAAATAGGTTGAAGGTAGAGAAAAAATAATGGTAACTTTCGTTACGCTAACCGAAAATTTCTAGCACACTTGAATATATCACTACATTAGGTGTATTGTAGTAATTGCTAGGTACTTATTATAAGACTTGTAGCATCGCTACAATTAGCGCGCTACTCCCGACCACTGGCTAATAGCTATGCATAACATGTTCAATAATTGATATTTTTGTTTCAGTAATAGTTGGCCAATATCACCTTATTCGGCAGTTCCTCAAACGCATCAATTGCATTTTCCTCTATCATCTCAAGTAAGTTGAAGTTAATCTTTGAGTTAATCTAATTAGTTTAATATTAATAAATATACAAATACGATGATTAGATGTCTAGGTAACTACTAACCAGGTAGTAGGTAACTAGGTTCAGTATACCGGTTGATCCAATTTACTTAAGATAGGTACTCATTATTCAAATATTTCTGTCACATGGTTTTAAGTCGTTACGTTTACTATATTTGTTCTTTTCATTTTTTTTAATTATTTACTCATTTTAATGACATCATACATTTTTAATTTCATAGGACCTATTGCCAGTGGCGTCATTTCAGTTTTTATTGGGAGGGGGTAAATGTGTTGACCAGCCCATATGACTGAGTTAAAAAACAGCTAGCAAGAAAATTTCCGATTATATTTTTATCTAGGAACAATCCCCATCTATTGCTACCTTTAATTTTATTTCTGGGGTAAAAATAACCTAATTTTTATATCGAAAAAGACGTGGAGGAGCCAAATAGTGATGGTACCTAATACCTATACTTACAGCTATACCAGCTACAGTCCAGTGCCTCAGGGCATCACTTAATATTTTTCTAGAGGGGTCGAACAAATTAAATAATTACTATAAAAAGTAATTAAAAAATCAAAAAATATTAAATACTTTCTATTATAGAAGTTTTTTTAGATAAATTTGATAGTGATCGTTTTAATTTTGTATATTTATATTGTATCAGAAGACCAACGTGTCCGTATTTCGAACTAAGAACTATAATACATATTAGTTATTATCTTGACAATAAGACGTATCCAGTATCTATGCCGTATTATGTTTCCTCGAAATTAAAAAAAAAAAGATTGTTGTTAATGTTTTATTATGAACAATTAGGCTGTTCTTGAGGGCAAATGCCTACTTTGCCCCCCTCCCCTCCTAAAATTACGGCACTGCCGATTCCGAACCAGAATATTATTCGGAGTATTTCGATCCATAAAAATAAAATTGCGTTCAAGTATAGTTTATTATTTATAATTATTATCTACTAAAAGTTTTGATGAGCTGAAAAGTTAATTTAAGTTAAGTTAACTTTTAATTCTTGAAATACTCTACCTCTTGTCAAAAATTCTATTTTTAGAGATAAAAGCACCTACACAGAATAAAATAATAAATCCTTTCTGTTTATTCTGTGGTACCTACTCCAAAAAATATTCCGCTTTGGAATGAGGAATTAAAAAGAATAATTTTTTTTTAAACACTGAGTGTCTTATATTTAAATATTTAATGGATCGCCCGAGAAATGGTATTCATTTACCTATTTTTGGGTCTGTTGAACATATTAATTCAAATTCCAAACATCCAATTATTTGCTGTAACCTACCTGTACCTATACTGTTTACTAATAATATAATATTCATGGTTAATGACTAATATCTAGGTGGCTATATAATCTTTAAAGTGTTCCATCAGATACCCTACATGATTATATTTTAACATTAATGTTATGACTTATGAGTGTTGGAAACCAGCAATTTTAGGGTACCTTATACTTATTTATTATTAATTTTAATCTTGAATTTAGTTGCAACCAGTGCAATCTGTTCAGATCTCATCAATGAATCATTCAAATTACAATCATTTACCAACCACTATGGGTAAGAAAAATCAAAATCTAACAAGTAGATTAAACACACACAATTTTCATTTTAATTTATTAATCCTGTTATGATTTTTAGCAAGCCAAAGTATGACTTTTGGTGGGACATATCCACAATGTCAACGGCGTCAACAACAAGAGGTATTACCAGATACTACTCTTCAGTATTCTTATTGGGCCACATCAACATCTTCTCCAGATAATATGATTTCAGGTATATAAATTTCAAATCATTACCTACTATTAAAGGTACCGATCATTTTTTAAACAAGAATATATTTTTCTGTTGATTTAGTGAAAGATGAACATTTGAATCTATTGGAAAAAACACAAGATACACTGAACCTTGAACATTTTGAGGTACAACCCCCAAATGTAGATTTTGAAGTTACAGATTCACGACAAAAATGTTATTTATGAAAAACGATTTGTGAATATTCTTATACACTCATAATTTTTACGCCTAATACATTAGTAATAAGTAACAAAGAAATGTAACTAGGTATGTATAACATGGCGTTTTTATCTGAATTCAAAGTTTATATAATTAATAATTATTAATTTACGAAATACTAATATTATAGTAAGTGTTACTAAGGGGATCTAAGAGGCAGGCCAAGTTTAACACATTTATAATTTTAAAGTAGGCACCTGAATCAAAAATTATTTAATTTAATTTAAAAATAATGTTGTCAATTTATAAGTATTAATAAGTTTAGCTCTTGTTAATACTTATTTGTTATTTATAAATTATTGCGTTTTTAGCTTGATGGCAAAGCAACAAAACACAAAATATTTGTTTCTTATATATTGTTACCAAATGGATTAAATTGTGTATATACCTAAACAATTGAATTAACATTATTAAAATATAATTTTATAACTATGTTTAGTATTAACAGTCAGTATTATATTGTTAAGGAAGAGAATATATTTTTACGTCAAATTTAAAAATGTCATAAATAATAATAATTTAAGTACAATTAGACTTACTTAACATTGTAAAAGTACAAACAAAAATTAAGAGTTTAAATCATGAACAAAAGAAATAAGTCTGCCTCTGATATATGAATATTATTTATCTATATTAATTTTGTATTTTTGTATTATAAAATATTAGGATTTTATAGCCATTATTATTATGATTATTTTAAGTAGGTACCTATCTTATTGTTAAATATAAATACCAACATTAAGTGCCTTATATATAACAGTTTGTGATTTAAATATTTAAAATAAAAATGATTTATTATAGTTATTTTGTTAATCCAAATCCAATACCTAATGATTACTATTGTATAATAAATTGAAATGTATGTAATTACTAATTAGGTGTATATAGGATTATATATTGGTATTATCTGTAATAGGTGTACGTCATACGGATTTTACGTAAAGCAAAAAGTACAAATTCATATTAACTAAGTACCTACATACTTATGTTTATTTAAGTATTGGATAATAATTGGAAGTGCTTAAAATGTGTTTTTGCTAGTAGTTTACTATTATTTATATTGGTAACATCAGTAATTATAGAGATTGAACCAGAGGAATACCCAGTAATTAGGATCAACATTTATAATATTCATACAGGTGTGTACAAGGAGATGATGTGGAGGTCAGAATGTCAGATACTCAATTGAACTTTTTTTTTTTTGAGATATTGTATGAAATGTTTGTTTAGTAAAAGTTGTAAATTAAATATTATTGTTTAAATTCATAAAAAACATTTAGTTATTCTTAATTTACTATACATAATATTATTATAACCTACTGCTGGTATCAGCAATATACACATTTGGTATAGTACTAAAGTTTAATACTACTACACATCTATACGACTATACTCTATACAAAACATAGAAGTAATAGGTATATTATACAGAATATAATATATACAATAGATCTAAATATCTAATCACTGATCTCAGCATCACTTTTTGGCTTAAAACCAGGTATATATATACATGATGATAGTGGATAAAACATGGGGGCAGTGGACACATCGACCCAAAATTCAACTAGTTTAGGTACAATCATAGGCATGCTCAGATTTTTTTCACAGGGTATGCCACTATTTTTAAACATACCTAGCTCAAAACAAAAAATAACTTACAATTAATAACTTGCCATATATAGCAAAAAGAAATTAACATGCGTTTTGTTTAGCTTATTCATTATTGGTTTTAGATATTTTAATTTGAAAAGTTTGTACTGTGATTTCATTTCAATGAAGTAACAGTATAGAAACCTACAGACATTTGATCATATTATAATAATATAAAATGACAAAAAAGTTGCTCTGCTGTACAGTAGGTTACAAGTGGGTCACTGTATAATGGATGATATTAAATTTGAATTCAATGATATGATATTGTATAAGAAAAAGGATTCTGAGAGGTTTGTCTGAGACGGTTGTCAGTCTACGTATAAGACATATTATATACTTATCTATGGTATTAAAAAAAATTGACCTATAATAAATTCCAAATAAATCATATCACAATATCCATTAGGTACTTAAACCCGTTATACATCAACAAAAAACCCTGATACTATCATAGATATATAATAGTGTACCTCAGGCGCGTAGCTAGAAATTTCAAAGGGGGGGTGTTATTCAAACTTAAGAGGACGCTAAGACGCGTGTCTTGTCTCTGTCTTACACACGCACGACATAACAAATTGTCGTTCAGTATTTTCAATAGTGAGCTGTTAGTTTTGATACTAGAGTGAATCGACATATTATCAAACTTTTAGGTAAGAACATTATCTGGGTCTTAGCTTGGGCGATTTTTCGATACTTTCACTTTTGAGAAAAATAAGTGTATGGAAATATTAAAAATGCTCATATCTGGCTTGAAAATTATTTATTATACAAACGTATTACAACTTACCAGTGAATAGATAATATAGTTTAGAATAATAGTTCTCTTATATAATTTTATTATCAATAAAAAAAAATGAATACATTTTTAAATTAACTTAATGTGTCGACTTTTTGAGGCTAGTGTATCTATTATTTCGTCTGTGGTTACGACTCAATCTCGATGAATATTTATAACAGCTAAGCCATTCAAGCGATTTTCACCAGTTGTATTTCTTAGATATGTTTTCAAGCGTCTTAATGAGGAAAAAGACGTTTCACTGCTTGCAGTTGTTACAGGTAAAGTAATCAATACTTGTAAAAGTCGATAAACAGTAGGAAATATGTCTTCGTTGCTGTCAAAGAAGGCTTCGGTAGCATTTTTAGGATTTTTATTTTTTATATGTTCATACCATATTGCAAACTCACCAATTGCAGATATTTCATCAGCTTCAATATCTGAAGAATATGTCTTAAGTAGTTCTTTAAATTCGGTCTCATTTTTTTCATTTGTATTTATTAAACAAGTAAATTGTTTTAATAGTGATTTATGGTTCAAAAATCTGTCATTTAGTTGCTCACAGAAATGATCCAAAAAAGGTACAAAAATCAAAATCCTAAAATAGACTTCCGGTGATTCTGTTGAAATGCTAAAACGATTTGTTCGGTTTATAGCTAGTCGAGGTATTGAAGTTGTAATCCCCAATGATAGTTGATACCATAGAGTAACACTCTAATGATGAAGTTGTAAACAAGTTGTAAATACTCTGCATTAAAAGATATCTTGTATCGTACATGAAACGAGTCAACGATAAACTGACACAGAATGGTCTAAAATAATAATTATCTAATTCCGTGTGCCCGTGTCCCGGTTTAAATTATAAAACATAGTACACCACGGTTGAAGGGGGGGTGTTATTACACCTGTAACACCCCCCCTGGCTACGCGCCTGGTGTACCTACATTAGAAGTTTAAAGTACCCACGAATAATATTATACCATCACAACAAAATAACTAAAGTAGTTATTCTAGGTTTTTTTTATGTAATTTCGTCCAAATTTTAACTTAAAATGACTATAAAAATAAACTGTTCTTATTTATTTTTTAGATTTTTTGGTAACAGAATTAACTACTTACGTGGAATCTTTTTATAAATTTTCAATCTTTAGATATAAAAGTTGAACCTTTTATAAATTTTTAACTTCAAAATAATTATTCAATTTTAAATTTGATAAATTTTGTCAAAATTCGATCTTTAAATGCTTATAAAAAAAAAATGGTGCCTATGTATTTTTAATATTTTTCAACTGATGGAACAATAAATCAGGAGCCTTGTATTACATTTTTACACTTGTTGGCCAAACAGATAAAACTTTATTGATATTTATAGAAAAAAAAACTAAAAAAATTGAAAACTAAAAATGTCCGTAAACAGCTCAAAAAGATAAAGAAATATTTTCAAAATTGTACGGTGTATAGGAAATCCGAAATACTAATATAAACATTTAGTGAAATTTTCATGTATCTACATTTATTTGTTTTTGAATTACCTACAACAAAATAAGAAAATCTCTACATGAGAAATCGATTGAATATCGAATGATGTAAAAATTTGAATTTCAAACGCTCATAAAAATTTAATTTGACTTTCTTATAGACATTTTTTTTTGAGAAAGGTAGAAAAGCTTATGTGGAATCTTGTATTACATTTTCCAATCTTAAATTTAAAAAGAAAATTTTTCATGAATTTCTAACTCAAAATAATTTGCAAATTTTCGTCATTTTTACGTATTTTGTCAATATTTGAACTGTAAATGCTTATAAAAAAAAATTGTGACTATGGATTTTTAATATTTTTCATCTGCCTTTGAAACAATATACTAGGAGCCTTCTATTAAATTTCCAATCTTTTTTAACCAACAAATAAAATTGTATTGATATTTTTAGAAAAAAAACTAAAAAAAAATGGAAAATTAAAGTGTTATCGTGTATAAAAAATGCAAATATAAACAACCAGTGAAAATTTCATGTATCTACGGTCATTTGTTTTAAAGTTACACCAAAAGCCAAATTCAATTTTATGAAAAATCGATTTTGAGTAAATATTCCCGTTTTTCCTTAATTTTTCTTTTGTTTTTCTTGGCGCTTTTGAAAATTACTGGGAATTTTAAATTTTGACCACCCCAATGCACCAACGATATTCACTTTCCAATCGAACAAGATACTGAAGATTAAAATTGAAGCATTATTTCGACTACTTACCGTGTACACAGACACAAAAATATACTGTAAAATCAATACATTCATCGTTTCATTCAGAATCTAAAAAAGGCATCGGACAAGACGAGGCGACAGTGGCGGCTATCTCGACAAATATAACAGGTGCTCACTTAAAATTAACTAGTACCTGCCCCCTACCAGTATTTCGGGTAACATAAAAAAATTACTCATTTCACAAAAAACTATTTAACCTACTAACATTTAAAGTTTATTTTAAAGACAAAATAGTTATAGCCCACCCACCCCAATTATGAAAGGGGTGCTTGAGCACCT